TTCTATTGCTTTCCCAGATGTATTAGCCAGGAGCTGACTCAGAAGTGGAACAGCCAGGACTCATATGGGACGCCAGCACTGCAGACAGTGACTTTACCTGCTATGCCACAGCGCTGGCCCAATATTTGTTATTTTTATATTTTATACATTAAATTACCTAGTAAATGTGTGATTTTGTATTTTATTTAAAATATTTTAAATTTATCTTTATTTTATTTGGAAGACAGACTGATGGAGAGAGATCTTCCAAGTGCTGGCTCACTAATGGCTACAATAGCGAGGGCTGGGCCATGTTGAAGCCAGGAACCTGGAACTCCATCTAGGTCTCTAGGTGGCAGGGGCCCAAGCTCTTGGACCATCCTCCACTGCTCTCCCAGGTGCTTTAGCAGGGAGCTGGACTGGAAGTGGAGCAGCCTGAACTGTGCTCACATGGGCTGCTGGGCTGCTGGCATTGCAGGTGGCTGCTTACCCTGTTGTGTCACAACACCCACCCCATAAGCTTATCTTTAAATTCAATTCTGCACCAACTTTCTGAAGTGCCCTCGTATGGTAAATGACAGGAGCTTTCAATTAATGGTTGAAGTATATCAAATTTCATTTTAAAATGCTTCCTGTGGGCCGGCGCCGTGGCTCACTAGGCTAATCCTCCGCCTTGCGGCGCCGGCACACCGGGTTCTAGTCCCGGTCGGGGCGCCGGATTCTGTCCTGGTTGCCCCTCTTCCAGGCCAGCCCTCTGCTGTGGCCAGGGAGTGCAGTGGAGGATGGCCCACGTGCTTGGGCCCTGCACCCCACGGGAGACCAGGAAAAGCACCTGGCTCCTGGCTCCTGCCATCGGATCAGCGCGGTGCGCCGGCCGCAGCGCGCTGACCGCGGCGGCCATTGGAGGGTGAACCAACGGCAAAGGAAGACCTTTCTCTCTGTCTCTCTCTCTCACTGTCCACTCTGCCTGTCAAAAAAAAAAAAAAAAAAAAAGCTTCCTGTGGGGCCAGCATCCCATACGGGAGCACTAATTCAAGTCCCAGCTGCTCTGCTTCCGATCCAGCTTCCTGCTAAAGTGCGTGGGAGGCAACAGGGATGGCCCAAGAGCTTGAGTCCCTGCCACTATGTGGGAGACCTGGATGGAGACCTGGATGGAGTTCCAGAATCCTGACTTCAGGCTTGCTGAGCCCCAGCTGCCGTGGCCCTTTGGAGAGTGAATCAGTGTACAGAAGATTCTCTCTAACTCTACCTTTCAACTAAATAAATAAATCTCTTTTAAAAAATAAAATCCTTGCGTGTATCAGAGTGTAACAGGCTGTTGTGGAGCCAAGGCGAAGCTGCCAGAGTTGGCAAACCACAAAGCATTTTGCCAATGCGAGGATTTACGCACAGCCTCGTCTCATCTCAGAGAAACTCAGTGCAGCGAGAAGTACCTGAAGGGGCCAGCGCTGTGGCATAGTGGGTAAAGCTACCACCTGCAGTGCCGGCATCCCATATGGGCACCAGTTCAAGTCCTGGCTGCTCCACTTCCAATCCAGCTCTCTGCTATGGCCTGGGAAAGCAGTAGAAGATGGCTCAAGTGCTTGGGCCCCTGAACCTGCATGGGAGTCTTTGGGGAAGAAAACTCATGGCTCCTGGCTTTGGATCGGCCCAGCTCCGGTTGTTGCGGCCATCTGGGGAGTGAACCAGCAGATGGAAGACCTCTCTCTGTAATTCTGCCTTTCAAATAAATAATAGTAAATAACTCTTAAAAAAAAAAAGAAACATAGCTGAAGACATGTTTTACAAAAGCGTCATTCATTGGTTCTGTAACTTTAATAAGCCCTCATCAGTGAGATATGACAGATTAGCTAAAGCTACAGGGGTCAGTGGAAATTTCAGCATGGACTAAATCTATGATGATAACAAACAAGAATGCTGGTTCTTTCGTTCTTTCCTTTCTTTCTTGGAAATTCCTGGTTGGCTCAGCTTAGTTAATAAACTCTGTGCTTGGTTCTGAGGAGTCAGCTACTTAGCCTGGCCAGGAGCCAAAGAAAGGACAACAGGTGGTGGGGACAAGAACCCCCAAATCTGCCGCCTGAGCCAGGTTCCACGCCAGGAACATACAAGCGGACAGGGCACAGTCTGACCCCAAATTAATGCTCCACTTTCCAGGCATTTCTGAAAAGAGAAGCAGCTCAAGAGAGATGAGTGGCTTCTGCCCTCTGACGACAGCAGGGCAGGGCACAAATGCACTTGGGGTGCCCAAGGCCGGGCACTGACACTAGCGCTGGGGGTGTCCCGAGCTCGGGCTTGGTGCCAGGTGCTGTTCCAAGCGCTTCATACGCGGGACTCGTTCGGCCTTTGGGGCGACTCTGTTAGGTTGGTGCTATTAGTGCTCCTTTACAGAGGAGGAAACTAATGAAGCACGCAGCGGATAATATTTAGTTAAAAGACCCCCTGGCCCCTGCCACCTCTCGCTCAGTTCCTGTGGCAAGGGCAGGGTGCCCTGGGGATCTTATGCAAACCTTGGCGGGGCGGGGCCAGCAGCAAACCCAGGATCCGGAGTGGTGTTCTGTCTTCCCCCGCTTCCTTTCCCACCCACCGGGTCTGTAAGGGGCCCAGGACTCCCTGTGTGGTGTCAGCCCCAAGTTTCTTTCTTTTTGCCTCTGTAAACAAATAGCAGGGGAGTTTACTGGGAGGGTTAAAGGAGGTGGTACCCTGGAGAGCTGAGCCTGGCTCAGGAAGGGTAATAATAATATTTTCTTCCTGTGCCGTCTGGGGCTTGGCAGACACACGCCAGTCACGGGGAGGCGAGTGCACGGGCGAGCAGAGCAGGCTGAGCCCGGAGGGCCCCAGGGCCCGCTGCAGGGAGGCAGGGCTTGCGGAACCTGCAGCACCCCACGGCGCCAGGCACACTGAGGTGGAGCAGCCCGCCCGTCCCTGCCCCTAGAGCTGGTCTCTGAGGTCCAGATCTCCCCGCTCACAGGCTAGAACGCTTCCCGCAAGCTGCTCTGCCTCCCCGTGCCTCAGTTTCCACGTCAGGGGAAGGGGACAGTAACAGGACCCCTGCCAGCGCCTCGGAGCGGGGAACATTTGGCTGACAGGCGGGAGTTCTTAGAAGAGGACCTGGCGACTGGGGAGTGCAGGTGCTCCTGCCACCCCGCTGCCACGCGAGGTTGGACCCTGCGGGAATCCGCCCCGCGGGAGGGCGCGGCTCCCACCATCAGCGCGCGTGTGGAAAGGGAGGACTCTGAGTTTGGATCAGGACGGGGGATCCTGACGAACTCTGTTTCCTGCATGTCGGCGGGACCTCCTGTCTGGTTTCTCAGGGGCGAACATGCAGGACAGACTTTTCTAGAAGGATGTGGGGGGAGCTCCCGGAGGAGGAGGGAGGGAAAGTGGAGGGAAACAGGAGGGGGCTTAGGAAGGGCCCAGACCTCCAGGGTCACAGGGGTGTGTGGGCGCCGGGCTGGCCTGGAGCCGCTTTGAGGGGCAGGGCAAGTGCAAGGCCTCTCTGAAAAACCGGGTCGGCCAGATTTCTCAGCTGCTTCATGCCATGGACATCGTCTTCCAGTCACATTTTTAAACGTGTAACTGCGGAGAACCCAAAACTACCGTGGTATTAGGGGAACAAATTGGGGACGTGATGCCTGTGCTTTTTGGTTAGCTGGTTAAGTAACAGGATTTGTAAGTTACAGGATTAATAGCCTGTAGTTACCACTGTCATTCCGCAGTACAGATGGGTGTAAACAGTATTTGAAAAATTTCTAATGAACTATGAAAATATGGGAAGTCGCCACCGATGCATCGAAAATGTACATTATGAAAAGCTGCCTGGATTTCCAAAATGTTTTGTTCCCCAGACTCTTAATTCCATTTTTTTCTGTGAAATTTCTAAAGTCCCTTCCCATCTGTGATGGCTTTTAGGGATGAAATCACAGGAACCGCTGTAGGAAATGCCGGATTTCTGCAAAAGATTGGAAGAAATAAAAGTGAAAATGTCCCCCCGCTCGGGATCGCCCCGATTTAACGTGGGGACCTTTGCTATGCACTTTGTAAGCAGTCGATGGTTCACGATTACCTGAAAAAAACACGGGACGTGCTGGTGAGTGTCCGGCTCGTTCTCTTTTACCCAGACCAGAAACAAACCCCCTGTGAGGACCACCTAGAAAAGTGCATGACTTCATGTGTGGAGGGATCGAGCCCAGCGAAGCGGGATGCTGGGCTTCGCGGCCAGTCCAGGCGCGGGAGCCCACAAACTACACCTGTTGGGACCGCGGAGGTCGCCGCGTCGGCGGGGACAGGACCCCTGGCCACTGCTCAGCTGGGTCTGCAGGCTCCCCACCACGGGGTTCAGCAAAGGCGGCGGTGACTGGGTACTTCCCTGGGGGCGGCCCTCCCAACCCTCATGCAGCCAGGAGGAGGGTGTATTTCAAAGACTCACAGGGACTTCTGGAAGCGGCGTGTGACAGACGAGCGCGCTAATAGTCCGGCAGCCCGGTCCTGGTGGAATAATAAAAAGCGTAACCAGGCTCTATTGCGACCGCGGCAGGACTCGAACCTGCAATCTTCTGATCCGAAGTCAGACGCCTTATCCATTAGGCCACGCGGCCGCCCGGTAACAAGCTGCCTGTACGCGACCTAAAATGTGTTATTACAGCCTAGCCGCCAGCTCGGGAGCGGCCCACAGGCTTCTTGAGAAGGGGAGCCTGGCCCTGGGCTTCCTGGTTCCGTAGGGAGGGCCCGCCCGGAAGTCCCCCTGCTTCCCCCGCGGGAGGACCGTTCCATTGGTGGCTCTCCTATTGGCTGCGCTGGGAGTCTCCCGCCTGCCTCTTGGGTAGCCGCGGGACCCAACCGGGCGCAGACGGGAAGTTGCGGCTGCCAGCGGGGCGTCCTGGCCGGCTGCAGGCCGCACGCTAGCCCGAGGCTGCGCAGGCCGCGCGAAGGGAGACGCCGCGTCCTCAGCTTGGGGTCAGGGGGCCCGCAAACCGGGAAGCAGCAGGAGGCCCGAGGTTTCCGGCGGGTCTGCGAGGGAGGCCGGGTCGCTGGGGGGCGGTGCGGCCCCACGCTCTCCACTCGGGGAGCAGGGCCCGGAGCGGGGCGGCGGCTCGTGGCAGGGCGCCGGGTGCAGGCGGGCTGCCGGGCGCGGGGGCTGCTCGGCGCGGGGGCAGCCGCCGACACCCCCTGCACGGCTCCTGCAGTCAGCGGGGCCGCGGTCGGGTTCCCCAGGAGTGGTGGCCCAGTCGGTGGGTTCGAATCCAGGCGCTGGATCCTAAGGGTTGCCGGGCTCTCAGGCCGCGGCGGTCTATGACGGCCCCTTTCATTGGCCGCGGCGACACATGCACCCGGCGTCACTGGGACCCCAAAACCCCATTTTACAGAGCAGGAAACCGGGGCCTAAGGAGCCTGCCCAAGGTCACGCAGTTCGTGGGGGCCAGAAGCAGGGGTCAAGCTGGCGCTGTCCCACTGCGGAAAATGCTCTTAACGGCCGCCCGCAGCTTCGCCAAGTTCACTGGCGCACCTGTGTGGACCTGTTTGCTCGGGGAGGGTATTGGTATTCCCAGGATTGGCTGAGGCTTTGCAGCCTTCAAGTCCTGCCCCGGGAGTGATGGCCGGGTACCCCATGTAATACCTGTGTGAGTGCATACATGCGCTTTGCCATCTGTCTCCTTTAGGATTCGTGGGTTGAAGGCAGGCATGATCAGACCCATTTCACGGATGGGAAGGCAGAGACGGGACGCGTCTCTCTCCAAGGCTCACAGCCAGTGAACGCAGCCAAGCTGGAGCCCAAAGCCAGGCGCCCCGACTCCGAGCGGGGGGCTTCCTGTACCCACCATGAGCCTGAGCCGCTTGCTTTGGAGGAAGGTGGCCGGAGCCGCCGTCGGGCCAGGGCCGGTTCCAGCTCCCGGCCGCTGGGTCTCCAGCTCCGCCCACGTCCCCGTCCCCAGCGAAGGGCAGCCGTCGCCGCCACGAGTGCCATCTTCGGAAGGCGGCCAGCTGCGGTACAACGCGTTGCACATCCAGATGCTCTCCAGAGGGCTGCACGAGCAAATCTTCGGGCGCGGAGGGGAGATGCCCGAGGAGGCCGCCGTGCGCCGCAGCGTGCAGCACCTGCAGGAGCACGGGCTCTGGGGGCAGCCAGCCACGCCCTTGCCGGACGTGGAGCTGCGCCTACCGCGCCTCTACGGGGACAACCTGGACCAGCACTTCCGCCTCCTGGCGCAGAAGCAGAGCCTCCCCTACCTGGAGGCGGCCGACTCGTTGTTGCGGGCGCAGCTGCCCCCCCAGCCCACGAGCTGGGCCTGGGCGGAGGGCTGGACCCGGTACGGCCCAGAGGGGGAGCCCGTCCCCGTGGCCGTCCCCGAGGAGCGGGCCCTGGTGTTCGACGTGGAGGTCTGCTTGGCAGAGGGAACTTGCCCCACGCTGGCGGTGGCCATATCCCCCTCGGCCTGGTAAGTAGGGGCCGCGACAGGGACGTTAGCTTGCACAGGGCCCGGCTTCATAGTGTGGGTCAGTGACCATTTACTGAGCGCCTCCTCCTGGGTGCTGGGTGCTCACCTAGGGACTGCTGGGGTGGTGGGGAGCTAAAAGGACTTAGCCCCTGCTTCCTCGCGCTCACCTTCTGGTGGGAAGACGCGGGCAGTGAACAGACCCCAGAGCAGGGAGAGCTGCCAGGAGGGGCCGTGCAGGAAATCACTTCTGAGCTGTGCTGGAGACAACTGGGGGCCGCTTGAGATGCCCGAGATTTGGTGCCTTCACCTCCTCCCCCCAAGAGCCTCATGGGAAGTTAGTCTGCAAAGACATGTAGACAGTTTTTCTAACTGGGGATAACACTGGCTATTTCGGGAGAGATTTCCCTTTGTGGGAACTGCCCCAGGCAGCCTAAAGGCGTTCAGCATCCCCAGCCTCTAGCTGATATTTTGGCCCCAAAACAGATCTAGCCAATCTTTCTTTCCTTTTTTTATTTTTTTGACAGGCAGAGTGGACAGTGAGAGAGAGAGAGACAGAGAGAAAGGTCTTCCTTTGCCGTTGGTTCACCCTCCAATGGCTGCCGCTGCCGGCGCGCTGCGGCCGGCGCACCGCGCTGATCCGAAGGCAGGAGCCAAGTGCTTCTCCTGGTCTCCCATGGGGTGCAGGGCCCAAGCACTTGGGCCATCCTCCACTGCACTCCCTGGCCACAGCAGAGAGCTGGCCTGGAAGAGGGGCAACCGGGACAGAATCCAGTGCCCCGACCGGGACTAGAACCCGGGATGCCGGCGCCGCAAGGCGGAGGATTAGCCTAGTGAGCCGGGCTGTCTTGTCTTTCAATCACGAATAATTTTTATGTTATGGCTTCACACATAGCTGGAGTCCTGGGTCTTGGTTACAGCTGTGGCTTTTTATTGTAGCTAAGGTCCCTGTCATCACTCCAGCCTCATGTATTTGGCCATTCTTTAGCTTTTTCTTCTTCTTTTTTTTTTTCTTTTTTTTTTTAAGATTTATTTATTTACTTAAAAGGCAGAACAACAGAGAGAGAGGGACGTACAGAGATCTTTCCTCTACTGGTTCACTCCCCACACGGCTGCAGTAGCCATGCTGAAAGCCAGGAGCCTGGAACTCCATCCTGGTGTCCCACATGGGTGCAGGGGCCAAGCACTGGGCCATCATCCCCTGCTTTCCCAGGTGCATTAGCAGGGAGCTGGATCGGAAGCGGAACAGCTGGGACTCAAACGGGCAGTCTGAGGTGGGATGCTGGCACCACAGGCGCTGGCCCCGCCCGCTGCGCCACAGCGCTGGCCCCTTCCTCGTTATTTTTAAGGGCTCTCCCATGCTGAGTTAAAAGGGAGGGGTTTTCAGCTTGAGTCCCTTGGCTTTTCCCACTGTTTGCAGTGTGAGATTTTGCTGGCTTTAAAACTAGGATCCTTTTTCTTATATCCCCCCCCGCCCCGCCCCCTGTGGAAACTAGTTCTATGTTGAAACGGTTGAGGCAGAAAACCCTCCTCCCTTCCGTAAGGCCGCAGGGAGCGCCTTCACAGCTGTGTTGGCCACACACGCGTCGTCACTCGCTCTGACGCTGGAAGGGCCTTGGCCATTTGGAATAACCTGTGGCTCTGGGGCCATGTGGCTCTGGAGTCAACGGCAGCCTTGTCCTGGATGGGTGGCAGGCCCCGCCCCTTCCGCCGCCCCAGCACAGGCATCTGCGCTTTCTCCGTCTTGCACTTCCCTGTTTGCTCGCTTAGGGTGGCCGTGGCTGTGGCCGTGGCCGTGGCTGTGGCTGTGAGGGCTGTGATTTGTCTTTGTCCCTCAGAATTTTGGCAGCCATGAGACGATTCATCCTGAACGTGTGCGCAGTGTTTGCCATTTCCATTTTTCCCATTTTCAATGAAAAAATCCACTTTGGGTCCTGCTGTCACCACCTGGCCCCTTTATTGGCACTTTGAGCAGGGCTGTTTGGACTTACAGACACAAAGAGCAGTCATGTTCACAGAAACCCCACAGACCAAGATGCACACTCTGGACATTGGTCTCCAGTTTTACCCCCAGCACACGGGCGCCCTCCCTGTCCGCTAGCGCTCGGGGGTGGGAGCACCCCGTGGCATCCTTTGTGTCCCTAGACACAAGTGCAGGACCTGGCCCGTGGTGGTAGGCGTGCAGTGGGTGATGTGGAGTGGGAGTCCAGTGCCCCCATGGTGAACCTGCCCCCCCCCCCCAGGTATTCCTGGTGCAGCCGGCGGCTGGTGGAAGAGCGCTACTCCTGGACCAGCCAGCTGTCGCCGGCTGACCTCATCCCCCTGGAGGTCCCTGCCAGTGCCGGCAGCCCCACCCAGCGGGACTGGCAGGAGCAGCTAGTGGTGGGGCACAATGTGTCCTTCGACAGAGCCCACATCCGGGAGCAGTACCTGATCCAGGTAAGGTTCCTGGGGCTGACTGCAGGCGGCTGGCCAGGAGCCCTGCTGTCAGCGTTAGGGAGGGTGTTGCCTTCTGGGCAGTGTCTCTTTGGGGCAGCTGTTCCCCAGCCCTGTCTCTGGTCTCTGGGCCCAGCTGTGTGTCCCCATCACAGAGTAGGAGAGGCCCTCACCTGTGTGGTGTTTTAGAGCCTGGCATGGTCTTGGAGCCTCTGGGCCACAGCCTGAGCTCACGTCCCGCCTCAGCCGCCAGCTAGCCGCTAGGGCTCCTTAAGCTTTCCAGGCCTCAGTTGGCTTTACTGTAAGAGGAGCTTATAGGATTATTAGGAGGGCTTGAACAGCACACACAGGTAAAGCAGTAGAACCGGGCCCGGCATGTAATAATGGCGTTTCTTCACTGTGTGAGAGTGCTTCGTCACTGTGGCTTTGGAGTAGCACTGCGAGACAGGTGGGGTGGGCGAGGGCAACCTGAGTGTGAGGTGCTGAGCTCAGGCAGCCTTGCTGACTGCCCTGGGCCATGGAGCTTGGGGGGGGGGCGGGCGGCCTGGTGGGGCTGGCTTGACACCGCTGCTGCAGTGGCGGGCCGGCCCCTCAGCTGCCCCCCGCCCCAGGGCTCCCGCATGCGCTTCCTGGACACCATGAGCATGCACATGGCCATCTCAGGCCTGAGCAGCTTCCAGCGCAGTCTGTGGATGGCAGCCAAGCAGGGCAAGCACAAGAGCCAGCTCGCTACACAGCGAGCTCAGAAGTCCCGGAGCAAAGCCACTGGCCCAGCGGTGAGAACACGCTGTGGGTGGGCAGCGTCCTGGAACCCCACCCCATGCCACCCCTCCTGCTGGGCTTGAGGCCAGGCTGTCCTGCGTTCCTTGCTCTGGCCCCCAGATCTCATCCTGGGACTGGATGGACATCAGCAGTGTCAACAACCTGGCGGACGTGCACAGCCTCTACGTGGGGGGGCCTCCCTTAGAGAAGGAGCCTCGAGAACTGTTTGTCAAGGGCAGCATGAAGGACATCCGGGAGAACTTCCAGGTACGCGCTGCGGCAGATCCGCGCTGCCCTGCAGGTGGGGTGGGGCGGCTGTCCACCCCGTGTCCTCCTGTCCCCTCGTGCAGGCCCTGATGCAGTACTGTGCCCAGGACGTGTGGGCCACTCACCAGGTCTTCCAGCAGCAGCTTCCCCTCTTCCTGGAGAGGTGAGAGGTCACCTGTGGGGACTCCCTGGGGCCCAGCGGGTTCCTGGCACTGCTGTGACCAGGTGTTGCTACTTCTTTGTCAGGCTGGGGACATCAGCCTTTCTAGCTGAAAGAATGGAGCCCTTCTGGGTGCATCGGTCACCTTGTCCCTGGACTGTGGCTTTGTGCAGAGGCCCTGGAGGAGAGGGCGGGGGGTGCATGCTAGCATTCCTTACCCCGGTCCTGCTGTATTCGGTGCCTTCTCTACACCCAGATCCCGTGCTGAGGGTGGAACAGACACCCTGCCTGTGTTTTAGTGAGTCAGGTCGTGTGACGTGTCAGCCCGATCTCGGGCAGCTCTGGCCCGTCCTCTCCTCACCTGGCCTTGGGCAGGTTACTTGGTTTTTCTTTCTCGGTGTTCTTGTCTGAGAAACATACACAGATATACTCAACTAGCCCAGCTGTGGGGTTCATGGTTGCTCTGTGGTGTGCATAGGTTGCTGTGTGTATAGGTTGTGTATAGGGTTGCTGTGTGTATAGGGTTGCTGTGTGTATAGGTTGTGTATAGGGTTGCTGTGTGTATAGGTTGCTCTGTGGTGTGTATAGGGTTGCTCTGTGGTGTGTATAGGGTTGCTCTGTGGTGTGCATAGGTTGTTGTACATAGGGTTGCTGTGTGTATAGGCTGTTGCGTATAGGGTTGCTGTGTGTATAGAGTTGCTGTGTGTATAGGTTGCTTCTGGTGCGTACCGTGCCTGGCAATCATTCAGTGACCTGTAATCCCCACAATACCTCTGAGGAGAGAATACTGCTACTAAGGTTTTATGGATGGAGAAACGGAGGCTCAGATGTGAGGTGCCTTTCCTCCGCTAGGTGGCAGCAGCGCTGCCTGACTTTAGAGCTGTTACTGTGGGTGGTTGGGTTGAACTTGGCCAAGTGGCTCAGGGTTTAGGCCACAGCCTTGACTCCTGTGATCATTCGTGTCAGTCTCTGGTTTTTGCCTGCAAGGTGTCCACACCCGGTGACTCTGGCTGGCATGCTGGAGATGGGCGTCTCCTACCTGCCTGTCAACCAGAACTGGGAGCGGTACCTGGCAGAAGCCCAGAGCACCTATGAGGAACTGCAGCGGGAGATGAAGAAGTCGCTGATGGATCTGGCCAATGACGCCTGCCAGCTGCTCTCGGGGGAAAGGTAGCCAGGGTTTGGGCAGGCAGGGAGCAGGCAGGGAGGAGGCCTGGCCATCGGCTCGGCCTCAGCTCTGCACCGGTGAACCGGCTCTGCAGGTATAAGGATGACCCCTGGCTCTGGGACCTGGAGTGGGAGCTGCAGGAGTTCAAGCAGAAGAAGGCAAAGAAGGTGAAGAAGAAGGAGCCAGCCACAGCCAGCAAGTCGCCCACCAAGGGGGCTGGGGCCCCTGGGGATCCCATGGACGAGGAAGGTGGGAACGTGGGTGGGAGGTGGGTGGGGTCCACCCGGGGAAAATGCCAGGACCTAGGGTTACTTGGGAAGGGTTGCCCCTGCCTTCTGGGGATGAGGGGTCCGGAGAGTGTCTTGTTGGGAGGCCCTGGTCCCAGCTGTCCCCTTGCCGTCCTGCACAGACCCTGGCCCCCCCAGTGAGGAGGAGGAGTGTCAGCGAGATGTCACAGCCCGAGCTTGCTTGCAGCAGCTGAAGGACACCACGGAGTTCCTGCCCAAGCGACCCCAGCACCTTCCTGGACACCCAGGGTGAGTGGAGCATCTGCCCGGGCGCCGCCCTCGCGGCCCCGTGTCTGCGCTGGAGCACAGAGGCAGGGTGCCCGTGCGCACCTGGCGGCCTGCTGCCGTTCCCACTCCATCTTCCGGCCCTGCCATCACTGACCCAGCAGGCACGGTGCTTGCACAGGGTGCTGGGCACCTGCTGTGTGCTGGCCCCTGGCGGGCACCAGGGGACAGGTAGGAGCTTTTAGCCTTGGGAAAGCCAGGTGCGTGGAGCAGTCAGCGCAGCGTGGTGTTTATGTCCATGGTGAGACAGAGTGAGCAGTGAGGAGGCAGTTCTGTCGGCGGTGGAACAGAGCAGCTGGTGTGAACGGGGTGCTGACGTTGCACTTGTGTGACCCGAGAGTGCCCCTCTCCCCGGTTGCGGTCACAGCCCCGGTGAGCAGCTGCTGGTGTGTCTCCAGACAGTGGCAGGCCCGAGGGTGGGGGGTGCAGACGTGCCCCCATTTGTCCCGTCTTGCCCTGGATGAAGTGGGGCTTGGGAGGGAGCTCAGCCCTGGGCTGAGGTGTGCTTGCTGGTCCTGGCTTCTGAGCGTTCAGTGGGACGGACATAGAGGGTCTTTCCTTTTGAGATACTTTAATTATTCTAGGGGATTCCATGGGGGTCCCGACCAGAACACTCCAGGGGAGGAGACAGTGACTGTAGGCTGAGGTCATCAGAAAGTCCTGGGCCTTTGAGGGTGGGTGGGACACATGGGAGAGACCCCCCCTGCCACGTCTCCCTCACCACCATGACACTGCTCTTTGTGGTGCTGCGTAGGTGGTACCGGAAGCTCTGTCCTCGCCTAGATGACCCTGCCTGGACCCCGGGCCCTAGCCTTCTCAGCCTGCAGATGCGGATCACCCCCAAACTCATGGCACTGACCTGGGATGGCTTCCCTCTGCACTACTCAGAGCGTCACGGCTGGGGCTACCTGGTGCCCGGAAGGCGGGACAACCTGGCTAAGGTGCCAGTGGGCAGCACCCTGGAGGTGGCAGGGGTGCCCTGCCCCTACAGGTGAGGCTCAGGCTCAGGCTCAGGCTTTGGGGGAAAGGCGCTGGAGCCTGGGGCTCTCTCCCCTAGCTGGGGAAATCAGTGAGAAGAGGTTGAGTCGGTCTTCCAAGGCTACCCTGACCCTGTGGCCTCAGAGACTCGGGGGCAGTTGGGACATTCAGAGTGGGGGGGCCACTGAGGCCGGCCTGTGGGGCCCAGTGGCACAGCTGCCTGCAGAGAGCATGCAGAGACGGGGAGCTGGGCGGGCTGGCTTTTTGGGGGAGTGTAATTTGAGCGCCAGTGAAATAAACCTTTCGCAGCTTCCCTCGTGTGTTCCCCAAGCAGCCCTGTGAGACAGGGCGGTGATGCACATGTTGTAGCCGAGGATGCCTGGGGAAATCAGTTGACTTGAGGTCACAAACCCTGGCTCTGGACAGGCGTGTGCTGGGGTAAGCAGCGGCCCAGAATTTACAGTCCTGGCTCCGACGGGCAGTCAGAGCATTGTGGACCCTGTGGATGGACAAGGCCGGAGCCACCTGGGACGGGGCCCTGGCTCCGCCGTGCTCTGCTCCCAGCGCTGCTCTTGAGCCTGCAGCTTTGTGGAGTAAGAGGAGCTTGGACCTGAGTCAGACCAGGCGTGGAACCCCAGCCCGCCACCAGTGTGCTTTGGCGTTTCCAGTTTGTCACTCCCCGTCTAAAACTCCGGGCAAGTGCTGTCCACTTTGTGCCTCAGAGTTGGTTCTGAGGAGTAAGCAATGGGAGCTGCCCAGCCAGCGCAGCACCGGTACTCAGAGGCCGCCGCTCTCTGCAGAGCCATCGAGTCCCTGTACAGGAAGTACTGCCTGGAGCAGGGGAAGCAGCAGCTGCAGCCCCAGGAGGCGAGCCTGGCCGAGGAGTTCCTGCTCACTGACAGCAGTGCCATGTGGCAGACGGTGAGACAGGCTCCGGCCTGAGCCCCAGGGAAGAGGTAGCCTTCCGGGTGGGGGACTGGCCTCGCTGACTCATGTACTGTGCAGGGCTGGTGGACTGGGACCCACCCAGGCCCTTGCCTCACTGCTGGGTCCCTGGGCCTACCTAGGTGGAAGAACTGGGCTGCCTAGACGTGGAGGCCGAGGCCAGGATGGAGAACGCAGGCGCTGCAGGACCAGGCCAGCCCCTGGCTCTGGTGAGAGGGGTGTCGGTCAGGGGTTTCCTGGGTGGGTGCCGGGTGGAGGGGCTTCCCTTTGCCTATGCAGCTCTTTTCTGCCAGAATTCCTTAGGTCCTGAGTGTTGGGCAGTCTTGCCCTGTCCCCAGGCGGCCCCACCTGAACTGGAGGCCAAGGAGGAAGCTGAACCTCATGGCCTCTTGTCAGTTCTAAGCTTACCTGCTCATAGTGTCAGCCCCTTCTCCCACCCGTGCCCCATGGCCCTTGCTGAGTTCAGGCTGGAGCAGGGCCTGACGTGGGTGTGTGGCCCCCACAGAGTGCTGCTGGTGGCTGCAAAGCCAGCCCGCCCATCTATCACCATGGCAACGGACCTTATGACGACGTGGACATCCCCGGCTGCTGGTTTTTCAAGTTGCCTCACAAGGTGTGTGTCCTGGTTCCTGGCCTGTCCTGCGGTGACCCCACTGTGCAGCTTGCACAGGGACTCAGACCAGGAGACCGTCCTTGTAGTGGTGGGGCAGAGTGTGACTTTGGGCAAATGCTGCTCTCTGAGCTTCCGTTTCTCTTCTGAAAAGTAGGTACTAAGGGACACAGTGTAGAATTCAATGCTGCAGGGCGTGTCAGGTGTCCAGCACCACATCTGGACGCGATAGCTTCTGTTGACTGGTAACAGCTGTATGGGAGAGCCAGGGGTGTGTGATGCAGCTGGGGATTTGCCCTAGATTGCTAGAGGTTTGGGCTCAGTGTCGGGAGGAGCCCCGCAGTGTCGGGAGTCCTGCGGTGCCTCCCCACCAGGGTCTGCCAGCTGACTCCAGCCCCTGCTGCGTTTGCCTTCTGCAGGATGGTAACAGCTATAATGTAGGCAGCCCTTTTGCCAAGGACTTCCTGCCCAAGATGGAGGATGGTACTCTACAGGCTGGCCCGGGAGGCGCCAGTGGGCACCGGGCCCTGGAGATCAACAAGATGATTTCTTTCTGGAGGAATGCCCATAAACGTATCAGGTGAGTCTCTGTGGGAGGGAGGGCAGAGAAAGTCCTGCCCGTACCCCAGGCTAGGTTTCTGCAGCCCGTGGTCTTTCCCCCTTTCCTCCCTGGGTCTCCTGATGCAGTCTGGGTTGCCAGAGAGACAGCGTGGCTGTGATCCTGAGACCTGACTGCTTGTCCTGGTGCCGGGGACCTCAGGCAGGTCTCTTAACCTCCTCAGCTTTAGTTTCCCTGCTGACTTAGCGTGGCACTGAAGGACTCTGATGGCCCCTTCCAGCTTTGCCAGAACCACCTGGTGTAACTGCTAGGGCGTTGGATGTGGCTGACCCTTGGGGGACTGATGGTTTTTGAGCCCTGTTAGGGGCTGGGAGCAGGGTCTTGGAGTCTGCGAATGGCAAATGGACTCGTCTTGAAGACCACATCCACGCCAGGCGGTTGAGGCTACCAGCATACTCTTGTGACGGGTCCATACGGAAAGAGGCAGTGGCTTGAGACACCAGGAGAGGGGCGGACGCTCCTTAGAGGCTTGCACAGTCCCTAGCTGGTTTATGTCCCTGCTGGTTGTGCTTTGAGCCCCAGTCCTTGGCTGAGCCATGGCCTACCCGGAGTCAAATTAGTAGCAAGAAGGTTGAGGACTGCAGCCCTGAGGTACGGGCCATGGTGGGATGACGGCGGGCTCTGCTCCCTGGCGCTGGGCTGAGTCCGATTGTCCCCACAGCTCCCAGATGGTGGTGTGGCTGCCCAGGTCGGCTCTGCCCCGTGCTGTGACCAGGTATGGCCTGCTGAGAGGTTGTGGGAATAGAACTGAGTGGGGAAGATCCTAGGACCAAAGCAAGTTGCTGAGACTCATCTCCCTGCACTCCAGGCACCCCAGCTACGATGAGGAAGGCCACTATGGGGCCATTCTGCCCCAGGTGGTGACTGCTGGTACCATCACCCGCCGGGCTGTGGAGCCCACATGGCTCACTGCCAGCAACGCCCGAGTACGTGTCCTCTGCGTCTCCAGTCTCTGCCTTTCATCTCCTAGGTGTCTAGGTCTGGGACCTTCAAGTGCCTTGAGGGCTCTGCATGGGGAAAGAACACAAGATGAGGGTCAGGCAGGGCTTAGTTCAAATCTGGCTTCGAGCCGGCGCCGCGGCTCACTAGGGTAATCCTCTACCTGCGGCACTGGCACACCAGGTTCTAGTCCTGGTTGGGGCGCCGGATTCTGTCCCGGTTGCTCCTCTTCCAGTCCAGCTCTCTGCTGTGGCCCGGGAGTGCAGTGGAGGATGGCCCAAGTGCTTGGGCCCTGCACCCGCATGGGAGACCAGGAGAAGCACCTGGCTCCTGGCTTTGGATCAGCGCGGTATGCCAGCTGCAGTGCGCCAGCCTCAGTGGCCTTTAGGGGGTGAACCAACGGAAAAGGAAGACCTTTCTCTATCTCACTGTCCACTCTGCCTGTCCAAAAAAAAAAAAAAAAAAATCTGGCTTCGTTCCTTCAACAGAAGTGCCCTGGTCATCTGCTCCTGGCCGCACAGGGACAAGGATAATAGCCACGACTGTTGTGGCGTTCAGATGAGGTTCTGTGGGTAAAGGGCCAGGTGTAGCGCCTTGTCGCCCCACCGCTGACAGGCGGTTGTCTGTGGAACTGGGGAGTGTGGAGCAGTGCTGTCAGGTGTTCTGTAAAGCTGTCCCCAGAGGAAAGGCCCTAGCACCTTCTCCGTCAACTCTGGCTCCAGAAGTGGGGGGTAGGACCGTCACTTGGGAATCTAGGAAGGCCTGACCTCGTTCTCCCTGCAGCCTGACCGAGTAGGCAGTGAACTGAAGGCCATGGTGCAGGCCCCACCTGGCTACGTCCTCGTGGGTGCTGACGTGGACTCCCAGGAGCTGTGGATCGCAGCCGTGCTGGGAGACGCTCACTTTGCCGGCATGCATGGTGAGCAAGAGTGGTGCTGGGGCAGGGGCGAGGCAGCCCCGCCTCTTGGGGCCCAGGTGGCTGAATAGTGTTTGTGAGCTTCCCTTCTTGTGTCCTGTTCTGCAGGCTGCACGGCCTTTGGCTGGATGACGCTGCAGGGCAGGAAGAGCAGGGGCACGGATCTCCACAGTAAGACAGCCAGCACGGTGGGCATCAGCCGCGAGCACGCCAAAGTCTTCAACTACGGCCGCATCTATGGGGCTGGGCAGCCCTTTGCCGAGCGCCTGCTAATGCAGTTCAACCATCGGCTCACACGGCAGGAGGCGGCCGAGAAGGCCCAGCAGATGTACGCCGCCACCAAGGGCCTCCGCCGGTGAGGCTCCTCTCCTGACCCATGGCAGCCCTCAGGACCTCGGGCCTGCCGCAGTGCGCTTTCCTGCGCCCATCTCACTGCTGCCATGGCCAACTCCAGGGTGGTGTGTCCCTGGAGTTGTGACGCTCGCTTTATGGTCAGCCTTAACGTTCTCGTGGGGATACAGCTGCACATCTGCATGTTGTCAGCAGCAGTCATGCAGAGGTTGCCCTCGGCGCCTCCAGGGAACGAGAGCAAGCGGAGTGGGCAGAGCTGACAGGAGGGTGCTGTGGGCAACTGGGAGGTGTAGGCTGATTATGGTAGAGGAGAAGGCCTCAGTGACAGGCTTTCCGTTCACCAGCCTGGCTGGCAGGTTAGTTTGCTTCGATGGTTCTACCCACCATGTGCTCAACACCCTGGCAGATTAGTCAGTGAGAGAGGAGAGGTACGTTTACAGCTTTCTTAGGCATAATCTACATGACAAACTGTAATTTAACTGGCAGACTCACTGTGGGGCCTGACCTCCTCGTGGAATGAGAACGTGTCATCAGGGCAGGAAGGGGTGCTGAGTGCTGTCCAGAGCAGATGGGTAGGTAGTGCCTCCCATGTGTGGTGGGAGGTGAGGCTTATACTGCAGTGTGTTGGTGGAGGCCCACGTGGTGGGGAGCAGGTCCTCTAACCAGGTAAGTGACATGGCCTTAGTCTTTGGGGGACAGCCTGGTGACAGCAGCAGGTTGGACTGAAGTTGGGGAATCAAGGTCAGTGGGAATTGAGAACGGGAAGCCATGCCCGGCTTCTACCACGTTCTACCATTTTCTGCGTCTCTAAAGCCTCTCCTGCTCTAAGTATTAGCACATCCTTGTCCACTCTAAATCTGGAGTGACAGGTCTGTCTAGCTGCCTGTTGAACAAGGCACTTGTAGGTAAATGGGCAGTTGTGTCCAAGGCATTAGGACAGTAAAAACAGTGATGGCCCTTGTGTTGGGGGGGGTCTTTGTCCTCTATTGGGCTATCATGGTAGACCCCAACTTCTGTGGCCCCAAGTGTGGGTTTGGTCAGGGTTGTACCCCTCCCTAGCTGCATGACTCCAGCAAGTCACTTAGCTTCTCTGAGCCTTCATCTCTGAACTGAAGCCTGTAGGGGACAGGCGTGTAACCCCATGGTGGTTTTAGAAAGTTGAGTGAGATGATGTGTGAACGCTGTTGGCAGAGAAGGCAGTGCCCTGGGAACAATGGTGGTGTTGTTACCCAGGTATCGGCTGTCAGAAGAGGGCGAGTGGCTGGTGAGGCAGTTGGACCTATCTGTGGACAGGACTGAAGATGGCTGGGTTTCCCTGCAGGATCTGCGCAAGATTCAGAGAGCAGCTTCCAGGAAGTGAGGACCTTCTGTGTGTTTCAGATGGAGGGAGGGGCCTGGGCTGACTCCAGAAAAGCTGGGATGCTTCGGTTTTTAGCTGAGATACTGAAAGACAAAGCCTGCCCCTGTTCCTGCAGGTCGCACTGGAAGAAGTGGGAGGTGGTTGCCGAACGAGCATGGATGGGGGGCACAGAGTCAGAAATGTTCAATAAGCTGGAGAGCATCGCCATGTCCGAGACGCCCTGCACCCCGGTGCTAGGCTGCCGCGTCAGCCGAGCCCTGGAGCCCTCAGCTGTCCAGGGGGAGGTACCTCGCTACCCTTGAAACACGGGGAGGAAGGTAGAGGGCTCCCTTTGGGTCTCACCAGTGTGTACAAATGGAGCCTGAACTGAGTTTCTCCTGGGGCTTCTAACCTCTTCCCCCAGAGCTGAGTGAGCGGTGTGTAGAAGAGCCCCTCACCTGTGCCTCCCTGTATTCCCCAGTTTATGACCAGTCGTGTGAACTGGGTGGTACAGAGCTCTGCTGTGGACTACTTACACCTTATGCTTGTGGCCATGAGGTGGCTGTTAGAGGAGTTTGCCATTGATGGACGCTTCTGCATCAGCATCCATGATGAGGTTCGCTACCTGGTAAGGGAGGAAGACCGCTACCGTGCTGCCCTGGCCCTGCAGATCACCAACCTCCTGACCAGGTAAGACCACGGCCTCCCTGGCCAGGTGCTCCTCTGTAGGGTGGGAGCTCCTCGGGCCTGGCTGGGCAGTGTCGTTTTCATTTCCCAGAAATGACTGTTTCCGCTTTTATATCTCTTTTTAAAAAATTTATGAAAGTCGTCCCGAGACTGGCAGGGAGTTTGTTACAGAACAGTTTAAACTGCTTCTCTAGCAACACAGCTTTCTGTTCTGAAAATCAAATGACAGAAAATGTCACAATTCAGAAAAAACAGACATGTTGTTTTTTCACGCAAAAATGTTTTCTTAGGTGCCAAAAATTTGCTTACTACAGTTAATGGGGAAACTCAAATACGCTTTTAAAAATATTCTATATATTGAGCTGTATTTTCTTATAGCAAGATTCCTAGTTCACATGGATGATTAGTGATGGTACCAGTTCCATGTTGATCTGCCACTCAGAACCAGTTTGGGAACCTTGATCTATCCTGATGAATGGGTAGACAACAAATGCTTAAGGTACTCAACACTGTCACCCACTGCCCTCTTAATCATTTCCTAGGGGGTTAAGCTTAACAAAGCTAACAAAAAGTCCTTAATTATTCCTTAAGCTCCAGCCCAGTAATTCAAAGTATTTTAAAAATGTCTCAATAAAGTGTACCAAAGTGGAAAAAAAGTGTGTTGAGTCCAGCTAAGAGCACAGAAGGGAGGCCCTGCTCTAACATGTTCTTTCTCTCAGAGTGCTGAGCCCGTGCCCACAGCCAGGGCATCGCGTGAGAGGAGACTGGGTCTCTTTCAGGTGCATGTTTGCCTACAAGCTGGGTCTGAACGACTTGCCCCAGTCAGTCGCCTTTTTCAGTGCAGTCGATATCGACCAGTGCCTCAGGAAGGAAGTGACCATGGATTGTAAAACCCCTTCCAACCCAACTGGGATGGAAAGGAGATACGGGATTCCCCAGGGTGAGCAAACACATTTGATCCTCATACATGTATGATGTGAGATGGGTAGACAGGAAGTAGTCTTGGACAAAGCTGTTTGAGTTTATAAGGTGCCCTATGTCAGAGGGAGCAACATGTTTCTACAGAGCTGTTCACAGGACAGCAGAGCTTCGACTGTTCCGCCTATACCTGTTCTCAGTCACACCAGCAATGCTTAAGATTTATTACATATAGTCAAAGTGCATTCTCAGGTGAAAAACACCTGTGCTTTAAATGCCAAACAAGTAAAACAGAAAGCTTATTATCTACTTAAAATGCATCCAAGATAAACTTATCGTATCAAAAAAAAAAAAAAGGGGTGTCCTAACATGTGACAAAGTGTTCCCTGAGTTCCTCTCAACCTTCCCACCCTCCTCTTTGACATGAGGCTTCTTTTCCGACACCTGAGTGCTCCTTCACGTTCCTGAGAAGGCATCCTAACCGGTTTGCACTGTCTTGCAGGTGAAGCGCTGGATATTTACCAGATAATGGAACTCACCAAAGGCTCCTTGGAAAAACGAAGCCAGCCTGGACCATAACTCTGCCGAGGCTCTGTGCTTGCTCCTGTGGAGCTTCAATGGGGGTGGGGCAGGTTCCCAAACTCAGGCTCTCAGCTGTACTTTTTGCAAAAGGACTTGCCTAAGGCCAGCTGTTTTTCAGTATCAGGACCCGCCAAGAAGATTCCTGCTCAGTGAAGGTGCAGAGGTGCAGTTATGTGTTCCGTGGGCTTAAAACAAAGATACCAACTTCAGTGTGGGATGTAGGACAAGGTGCACTGTTGCTTCTTGCGTGAAAAGGAAGCAGAAACCCCAAAGTTCACATTGATTAACTCAGGCATTTCTGTTTCTTCTTGGCTGGTTCTTTGTTCTGTCTCCCATGCTCCGTTGCAGTGCCCTAGAAGGGTAGAGAGGTAAAGCTCTAACATGCTAAATCTGCTCTGAGGCAGAGGAATAATAATTAAAAAAAAAAAAAAAAAAACCCTAACATTTTTCTTCTCATCAAAGCCTGTGTTAGTCATGCTTTCTCCCCTTTCCTACTCATGGGAGGTGATTATGTTGAAGTAAGGCAGGGCCAACTCCTTCCCTTAGGACTTCTGTTATACTGAGGACAGAATGACAGTGAAGGAGCCTTGGGCGTCAAAATGCTACATGACCCTCCTGAACTCAAACGCCAAGTAGTACAGGGAGTAGATGAGGCTGGGTGCATCAGGCCCTAGAGTGTGATACACAATCTGAAGAATACAGGTTCAAAACTTTAAGAAGCCAGAGATCCAGGGTGCTTTATATAAGAAACAAGGATGGGCCCCTGATTTGTTAATTGCATCTTGGACAAACTTAAGATGATGAGAATTTTAGGTGTTAGTGTCAAGGAAACATTTGGGCTCTGTTTCAAAGTGGTAAAACTAAAGGGTAAGGAAGAAACTGGCAGGAACCGAAGGAAGCCTGACCACACCAAGTGGCCCTGCTGTGAGGGAGGGCATGGAACAAGGGAAGGTTGTTGTCTGATTGTTAAAAAGGAAACAGGGAGGACCCACAGCAAGACTACTGTCACCACCCTCCTCCGGGAAATGACTGCCAAAAATGTACACAAGTCTGGATAGCCTCATAGGATTTTGTATAATTCCCAGTTCCTCAAGGGCCCTTAGCTTTCACCTTTGCCTGACTACCCTTGAGCCTGCCTGTCTGTTGGTACTTGCTCTTCCACTTACCTACAGCTGCCTCTCGATAGGCTGTCAACAACCAGCTAGAAAGAGTGGCTGGGGCTTACTGTGCTCTGGGCAGAAGCAGACACTAACCTCTTCATCTTCATCTTCCTCGTCCTCTCTCAGAACCATGTCCAGAATGTTCCCTTTGATCTTGAAGTCCCTTGAAGTGCTAAGCTTCATGTGCTGCATCAGGTTCACCTGTGACATGATGTAAGCACATCTCACTTGAAGGTCCTGCTGGGACAGCTCAAACCATTTTTAGTGTACCCATGATGCACTCCTCAGTTCCTATTTAAAGTAAGTACACTGCCACTTGGAAATGCATTTCCAACAGTTTCCTACTTGATGTTTGGAATCAGGCCCTCAGATCAGAAATAGCAAAGAAACTGATGGATTATAGTTTTTCTTCCCATCTGTGGTATGGTTTGCCAGTTGTCCACAGGGTAAATAGAAATGATGACAAATAATCCAGTATATTTACCTTGGATCTCTTAGAAAGGTGGATAAGAAATTTTTCATACTGTTCAATGGCAAAGATGAGGTTAGGGATTGGCTTGGTTTCCCGAAGAACTCTGGCCTATGGACAGAAGAAGATAAGACTTGAAAGTTCAGGTTTGATAGTTCTTGATGTTTTTCTGTGGAGCCAGCAGAAATGCACATGACTTTTGGGGGGTACATTAGTCTGTCAGTCAGGTGCAGTTGTACTTATATTTTGAGTCTCAAAGGACCTGAATGCCAGTTGGAATAGCACTGAGTCTTTCCATTTAAAATTCCTATTTTTGTTATCTAGACTGGATAAGGAGGACAGGACCATTTGTAGGAATTATGCTGGTTTTTTTTTTTTTTTTTAACATTTATTTATTTGAAAGGTAAAGACTCCACCTGCTGGTTCACTCCCTAAATGCCTACAACAACCAGTACTGGGCCCAAAGCCAAGAGCCCTTAACTCTATCTGGGTCTCCCACATGGTAGCAGGGACCCAAACACTTGGGACATTATCCCAGGCAAATTAAGAGGACGCTGGATAGGGCGCAGAGGAGCCAGGACTGAAGCCCACATTTTCACATAGTGGCTGGCTTAACAAGTTGCACCACAGCACTCATCCACTGAATTGATAAAATAAGCTCAATATTTCCTTTTTCTGATTTGTACATTTTTCCTGCTGGGATTATTCCTACCACTCTCCCATTGGAACTGTAACTTGTAGATTTTTAAAAATGTTTCATGTGTGTCTGTATATGTGTATCAGAAACCCTCAAGTCAGGGCTAGCTCTGGTGCAGCAGGGTAAGTGCTGCCTGCAGCAACAATATTCCATATGGGCACTGGTTTGAGTCCCGGCTCCTCCGCTTGTGATCCAGCTCCCTGCTAATGCTTCTAGGAAAGCAGCAGAGAATGGCCCAAGTCCTCAGGCCCCTGCATCCAAGTGGGAGATCCAGATGGACGTTCCTGGCTTTGGCCTGGTCCAGTCCTAGTCATTGCGGCCATTTGGGGAGTAAACCAGCAGATGGAAGATCAGTCTCTCACTTTCTCTGGCTCTCCTTTATAACTCTGCCTTTCAAATAAATAGATAAATAAATCTTAAAAATAAAAAACTCACAAGTGAGGACACTGTACACACTTGTTTTCACATTTTAAAAAGTATTACTGGGCCGGCGCCGCGGCTCACTAGGCTAATCCTCCGCCTAGCGGCGCCGGCACACCGGGTTCTAGTCCCGGTCGGGGCGCCGGATTCTGTCCCGGTTGCCCCTCTTCCAGGCCAGCCCTCTGCTGTGGCCCGGGAGTGCAGTGGAGGATGGCCCAAGTGCTTGGGCCCTGCACCCCATGGGAGACCAGGAAAAGCACCTGGCTCCTGGCTCCTGCCATCGGATCGGTGCGGTGCGCCGGCCGCAGCGCGCCGGCCGCGGCGGCCATTGGAGGGTGAACCAACGGCAAAGGAAGACCTTTCTCTCTGTCTCTCTCTCTCACTGTCCACTCTGCCTGTCAAAAAAAAAAAAAAAAAAAAGTATTACTTTGGCAGTAATTCTACAGCTGAACACTCAGATGGTATTTTTTCAGGCCTCTACAGTATTATCCAGTGTATATATACTATGACCTCCTTGACCAGGCCTCTGTTAATGTACATCTTAGTTACAGACACTTTGTGGAGAAATGGAATTAAAGTGTTTTTTTATCCAAAAAAGTGAAATTTACACATGGTAATACACATTTTCCATTAACTTTTTGAAGACATCCCTTGTGTGTCTAATATTATACTTTTGAATTGAAGGGCAATTCTGTATACAGGCCTTTACCATTTGTAAATTGTTACAGAATGTGTATCTCCTAACACTCCTAAGTTGTTGCCAAACTGCCCCCTTGAGAAGTTAGTATGAAGTCTTGTGTTGCCAACAATGTGCTATATATCCGCCTTCCTGCATCCTCACCATCTCTGAGATTCTTCAGGGAACACCTTTTACAGTACCAACTTTTCCTAAAAACAAAAAGGGACATCCTAGACTATTTCATTAGTTCTGTTTGAGGTCAAGATTTTCTGGTGCTTCTTGAAAAAATGTTGTTGGTTCAAAGGAAAAATAAGATGTCCTATCTCATCATACAACTCACTAGTTAAGAAGCAGTCATAGGGCCAGTGCTATGGCACAGTTGGTGAGGCCACTGCCTGCAGTGCCGGCATCCCATATGCGTGCCGGTTCGAGTCCCAGATGCTCCACTTCTGATTAAGCTCTCTGCTGTGGCCTGGGAGAGCAGCAGAAGATGGCCTAGGTCCTTGGGCCCCTGCACTTGTGTGGGAGACCAGGAGGAGGATCCTGGCTTTGAATCAGCGCAGCTCCTGCCATTGTGGCCGTGCGCCTCTGCTTCTCAAGTAAATAAATCTTAGGAAAAAAAAAAATCAACAATCATGTAAACATACATATACACACTTGTGGGTACTTCAAAAAGTTTATGGAAAATGCTTATTTTGAGAAAATGATTTCAAATATTTTTGCATAAAAACTTTAAATTCTATTTTCCAGGGACTTTGGTAATAGCTTTTTGAGATACATTCCACATACCATATAATTCACTCATGTACACAATAAATACGTATATCAGACAGTTGTGTAACCATTACCACAATCAACTTTACAGATGCCCTTTTTAGCTATCCCCCCAGTTCTTCATCTCCCTAAACCACTAAGCTCTAGTCAACTACTCATCTTTGTCTCAGATTTCTATTCTGAGTAATTCATGTAAATGGAATCATACAACAAGTGGTCTTCTTGGGACTATGGCTTTCACTTAACATAGTGTTAAAGGTTTACCAGTAATGAATGGTCGGCCTCAGCAGCTTACCATGGCTGTGCTAACAGCAGCAGTCTTCTTTTTCTTCTCCCCTGTATGTGTCAGGCCATTACTCTTGTTCTAAAGAAACAGAAACACATTCATTCTTTCCATTCCTGAAGATTTTTCTGTAGAGCTGGTGGCAGTTTCCTGGAGTATGGAGATCATGTCTGGTGAGTAAAATGATCTGTGCAGCCAATGCTGCGAGCTGGGAAAATGCCAGTGATGTCGTACAATTCTCAGCAATTTTTTCTTCTCTCTTTTTTTTGTTGTTGCTGCTGGGAGACTTACATGAAGACCGAGGGCAGAACTAACCATTACTGTCCTAGGCCAGCCAGTGGACAGTGAGGTGCAAAAGGACGGTTACAGTGCAGACGGCAGGGTGGAAGCAGAGCAGACGGCTTCCTGCCGAGCAGCTGGCTGTGGAAGCCGCTCCAGGAGCCTGCAGTCTTCCCACTTGGAAGCAAACACCAGATGTGTCTCACACGCAGTGTGAGTCTCATGCTCAAGAAAGGTTTCAAGAGTAGGAGGAACTCTTCCCTATGTATTACCTGCATTATCAGGTAATAAAGAGCTCCCAGAGAGGGGGGGGGGAATAATTAAAAGAATCAAGAAGTATAGGATTCTGATAAAGCAAAAGTGAATCAAGACCTAAGTTAGGAAGGATGGGAAGAAAACACTCAAGTGTCAAGTACATAAAATGTAGGAAGCTCTGACCTCAAGAGAGATCTATACCTTCTAGGCAAGGAACATACCATGCTCCATGGAGACAAGATAAAACAGATCTGAAAATGCAAGAAGCTATACTACTAGAGTCACAGGAGAGGCAGGAGGCTTGTTCCTTGTGTTAGGTTCTAGAAAATAAGCAACAGTAGAGATTCTAGAGGGGCTAGTTTGAAGTAATCTATTTTTGGGCCCTGGAAGGCATGGTAGAAGAGGGTAAAGTCCTATTTAGGTAGGAGAGGAAAGTGTAAAATGAGCCATCTTCCTAGAGATTGTATCCAAGACCCTTTGAAACTCCCTAAATCAAACCTGTGCACTGCCCATTCCTACTGAACCAGGTAAGTGAAGCATCTTTCAAAGATGTATGATTCAGGTCTCACATGTGGCACAGCAGGTAAAACTGCCTTTTGCATAAGGGCACCAGTTCGTGTCCCAGCTGCTGTGCTTTGCACCCAACTCCATGGTAACGACCTGGGAAAGCAGTCAAGGATGCCCCAAGTGCTTGGGCCCCTGCCACTCATTTGGGAGACTGGATGGAGCTCCTGGCTTCAGCCTGGCCCTGTCCTGGCTGTCATGGCCTTCAGCAGTAAACCAGCAGATGGAAGATCTCTGTCTCCCCATGCCTCTCTCTCTGACTTTTAAATACATACAGAAATCTTTAAAAAAAAAAAAAAAAGTGTGATCTGGAAAGCATTGTTTTCAGTTTCCTATCAAGATTTATGGTAAGTAAGAAAAAGGGGCGTATAATACAATCCCCATTTCTGCACAAGAGTTAGAGTTACTGGAAGTATGGGCTGTGGCCTCAGGTTGTTCATTCAGTGAATCTCACAAAGATGAAAATGTTTGCCTGTAGATCAGCTAACTTGTCAGTGAGGCACATATGGATGAGGAAAGGGATAAATGCCCAGGGAATACATGAAATGGGTTTTGTGTGATGTGGGGAAAAATTAGAAGTCTAGAAGGTACCTAATATTTTCCCAGAAGAAAATACTTAAGTAGGCTCAGAAACACAAAAATGTAAAACTCTCCATCATTTTAGATGTCAACAAATATCAAGTATGAGTCCAGAGCAGGGGATGGCAAACTACAGCCCCCCAGGACAAATCCAGCTCCCTGTTTTTGAGAATAAAGTTTCACTGGAACACAGTTACAATCATTTATTTGTATGTTATCTAAGACTGCTCCTATGTTACAACAGCAGTTAAGCAGGTGTGGCAGAGACTAAAACAGGCCTAAAACATTTACTATCTGGCCTTGAACAGAAAGTTTGCTGGCCCCTACTATAGAGACTAACTAGCTGGAGTGAAGTCCCAGGTCTGCTTTCTAGCTGTCTGTTTTTGGACATTTCAATAAACTTTCACTACTTGCACAAGTGTAACTACTGATCACAAAGCAGTGAGGATGAATAAGGTGATATATGAAAGGAGATTAACAAAACAGACACAAGGTCCAGGGTTTGCTAAATTCAGCTATTCTAATAAGTTGAACAAAGTGGTTTTTGGATTATAATTTTTAGACTGTAGTAAATATGGCTTAACAGCAGTGTTTCCAAAGCCAATATTCTTAATTTTCTACCAAATAGTAATGTTGTTATTAAAAAAAAGTTCCTGAGTAGGTTTGAAAACTATGACTGAACATACTGTTGGACTTCTCAGTGCTTCCAATATGCTAATGGGCACATGAATGTTTAACATAAGGAATACTGTGGGCATCATTTCTCACAAACTTGCCCTTTCCCACCTTAGGACTTAATCTATACAGGATACTTTATAATTGTGGCCCTGAGGTATCATCAAGACTTGGAGATGCAGAATTTAAAACCCAAATTTAGGAATGGAGGAATATACCCCATTATAGATAACAGGTATGTTTGACAGAAGGGCACCCTGTATGAAATTTTATGAACAGGAAGCTTGGGAAAGCATGCCTGAGAGCATTTGGGTGAAACAAAAGAAAACAGGAGGAGTGGAGGCTTGATGAGTAGGTTGCACTTCCCGACCAGACAGAAAATGAATGATGAATTTCTGATACAGATCACAAAACTGATAGAAAGGTAAGGTGGCAGCCTCAGATATCAGCACACTATGGAATTTTAGGTAAAACCAGATGACATGCCACTTGGCCACTGATTCTCAAGAGGAGGCACCCTTAAAACATATAATGATATCAAGGTGGTCACAATCCAGCACTTTAAGTACTTTTAGTGCTTTCTGAATCTTGGATGAGACTGACATTTGGTGGACGCAATCTCTTTGGTTCTACAAAGATCAGCCAGTGACTAAATGTTTACTGCAGTATCTAAGTGGCTTTATAAGACAGTAGGTCTTCCATCACTTAAGTCATTTCAACAGGGGTGATTTTGGATTTCTTAAGGACATTCAGTAATTTCTGGAAACACTTTTGTTGTCATACTCTGAGGATGTTGGTCCCTGGTTTCGGGTGGGGAAACTATTCTAAGGGCCATTTGGACATTCATAACATCATTCACTGGCTACACAAAATTATCAACTTAAAAACTAGCCTGCCATGGATTTACTGAATTTCTAGTTGCCTTGGTAGGGTCAGACCAAATGGTTTTGTGGGGATTTATAATGACCCATGGACTGGATACTCCCAACACATCTGTGGTAGACAACAAACCAGGGATGCATTAAATATCCTGAAATGCACAGAACAAGCAAAGATTACCTGGCCCAATGTGACAACAGTGGTGAGGCTAAAAAATACCTGGTTTATTTATTTATTTATTGACAGGCCAGGCAGAGTTAGACAGTGAGAGAGAGAGAGAGACAGAGAGAAAGGTCTTCCTTTTCCGTTGGTTCACCCCCTAAATGGCCGCTACAGCCAGAGCACTACGCTGATCCGAAGCCAGGAGCCAGGAGTCTCCTCCTAGTCTCCCATGCGGGTGCAGGGTCCAAGCACTTGGGCCATCCTCCACTGCCTTCCCGGGCCACAGCAGAGAGCTGGACTGGAAGAGGAGCAACTGGGACAGAATCCGGTGCCCCAACCAGGACTAGAACCTGGGGTGCCGGCGCCGCAGGTGGAGGATTAGCCAAGTAAGCCGCAGCGCCGGCTAAAAATACATGGTTGAAATAGTCAAAAAGTTTAGTACTGCAAGAAGCAGATGGTATTGAAGATCAGATGATACTTGAAATTTCTCCAAACTCTGGAAAAGCCCTAGAAATTTCTCCAAACCCTTCCCAGAGGGAGAATAAAAAGGGTCTGGGCAAATCATAGAAGAAAGCCCATATTTCTGCCACCTCCTTAAAAGCACTGCTGCTCTCATAACACGCTTCTTTCCCATCTGCTCCCAGCCCTTCTGTGTGTTCTTACTCTCACTTTACTCACCATGTCTGATGGCGTGGACTTTCAGGCACCCAGGAACAAGCCATTACTGAATCCCAGATGCTTATTCCTTCCCTGCTCCAAACACAAGCCTATCAATGTTTGCTCTCTCCGAAATAAATGTTTCCTTTATATGAATCAAGATCTCCTTGCTGCAAAGTCCCTGAGCTTTTGGTTGGCTGCAGAGAGGCACGCTGCCTCATGGTAAGCAGAGAAGAAACTTGGTATACACTCAGCTCACCTGACCAAGCAGTCCCTTGGAATAGAAGTCCAGTCTCAAAGCTGTTTTAGTCCTGCCTCTGAATTACTTACCTGTACATAAGAAATGAAGGAATAACACAGTGGGGTCAGATGAGAGCCAGACAGCTTCACCTGCAGCAAGGAGAAGGGAACCAATGTGACTGCAGCAGTAAAAGGCTTTCCACATTCCTAGGAAAGGTCATTCTTTACTCACCAGCTTTTCCATATTTTTTGGAATTCCTCTGGAGCTCCGACACACCTGAAAATACTATAACAAAAGATTCCTAGATTTAGAAGATTATCCTATGAAATGACAGATGACTTTTTTTTTTTTTTTTTGCCACAATGTCTTGGCTTTCCATGCCTGTGAAACTCATGGACTTTTTAGCCAGATCCAAATGCCTTACGGGCTGATTCTGAGGCCAGAGTGCTGTTTAGAGCTTTTGCCATTCTATGAGTCTGCTG